TAGCCATTATAACACAATTTAAAAGAATAACTCCTTTATCAAATCTTCCCAAACCTTTCATATCTTCAACAAACAAAGGCATTGATGTTGCAGGAATTTCCCAACTCAAGCCCACCTCACGAAATAGATTACACCACAATGTAAAAGCAACTAGATGACGTAGAAAAAGATGATCAATACTCTCGAGATCACCTTTACACATCACACACCATAGGGGGAGAAGACAAAGATTGAGGCCTCTTCTTTTGAAACATGTCATTAGTGTTGATCTTATCATGTGCAACCATCCATGCAAACATTTGTATTTTAAGAGGGACTTTAGCTTTCCAAATCGTAAAAGCATAAATGAAAGATGGACAATTATTTTCATTCAACAAAGAATCCAAAAAAGATCTACACAAAAAGACTCCCGAAGAATCAAGCAATCATCTTCTTTTATCACAAAACTCATGAATGACAAACTCATTATTAAGAATATCAAGAACAAAAATCAAATCACTGGTATCTCTATCGTCTAAATTCCCTATGAAAACCAAAGTCCTATGAATACAGATAATCATACGAACGAAGCATAGCCAGAATGGAATAACCTCGAGAATGAGATAAATGCACCGCAAACCTAACACTTTGGAAAAACCTCATCAATCCCTGATAAATGAATTTCCCTAGAGCTAAGAAACTCCTCCTCTCAACTACATTAGCATCTCATCCATTGGTATATAACCCATATTTGCTTTTGATAACTAAATGCCACAAAAAATTTATTTCCAAAGGAAACCTCCAAAGTCACTTATCCACTAATGCAATGTTTCTTGCCTTCACATTGTCAATTGAAAGACCACCTTTATCCCTAGATTTAGAAACCACCTCCCACTTGATCAAGTGATCCTTTCTCCCTTCCCCACTACCTTCCCACAAAAAATTATTCATCATTTTTTCAATTCTCATAACCACTCTCCCTGAAATTTTAAATAAAGATAAAATGTATATGAGAATACTAACTAAAACTGATTGCACCAATGTTAACTTCCACTTTTGGATATATAAGTCTTCTTTCACCCATCTAACTTTTTTCCCATTTTTTCCACCGCAGAATGCAAAAAAAATAAAGATAATGGATTTTCACCCAATGGTAAACCTAATTATTTCAAAGACCATTAACACACGTCACATCCCAATCTTTGTCATTCTACTGATCTTTGCATCATCTAAATTAATGCCTACAATAACACTTTTATCCATATTCACCTACAATCCTGAAACCAAACCAAACAAATCAACAATATTCTTAAAACTTAAAAGTTTTTCCTCCTCTCTGGCTAAAAAAAATATTGTATCATCTGCAAATTGTAAATGAGAAACCAAAATTATATCCCTTTCCACAATAAAATCTTCAACCAAATCATAATTCTAAACTCTTCTCATTAATCTACTAAATCAATCAGCAACTAAACTAAAGAAAAAGGGGATAAAGGATTACCTTGTCTCAAACCTCTAGATGC